GTAGAAGCTGTAAATAAGCATTATCTGATTCTTCAACTTTTATTAAAGAGAAATTTGATTGGAAGCATATCAGTTACTGGAAAAAGGCAATATTTGGAATTTTGAGCTGCTTTTCTAAGCGAAGCTTTTCCCGATTTCGATCATAAAGAAACTTACCATGTAGTAGAAAATAATTAATCAGCATGTGAAAAATCCTTGGCATTCAAAGTTAGAAGGCTCACGTTTAAATTGCAGACATCGATAAATTTTTCCTTCCTTTTTTATCGGCTATTCTCGATTGCGAGCTAGTTCCTTGAATGATCAAAACTGAGAAAACGTTTTCCTTCAGAAATAGAGTAATTTTCATGAGCAAAACTCAATCGAAATTGTGCCATAGGATATCGAGCAATTTATAACAGTCATTACCGATGTTGAGTAGCTTAGAGTGTAATGTCTTTGGACTAAATAAAAGATTCAATTTAACAGATTAATTTTATTTCAATTTCGAGAATTTTCGGAAATCGAACTCAAGATATCATTGATTCGTTGGTATTTTGTATTCTGACAGTAACCGAATTGATTTCCTAAGTTTTTGTGAACAAAGTTTCTTAAACGAAATTTTGTTCGGGCCTCGTTTTCGTGGCCCATTTCGAGTCCTACATTACATGTATAAACTGAACTTAATTAGACAAGTGTAGAATATTCAAAATTAGTTTTTCTTTATAAACATAAAAACCAAGTTTTATATTACTAAAAAACTCGTTTTGCGAAACGAGTCGCTGCTTTATACTAAATATTGCTTGCAGTTATCCAGTACTTTACCTAGAGCACATTTATACTTAGATGCGCCAATAATGCATATGTTTATCTTGCCAGTCAAGGGTCAAATGAATCGATTCTCAATGAATGCTACTTGTTCTTTTCTGGCGTCAATAACTGTACGCGCCGTGATAAAATTTATTTTGCAGATTGAATTACTGTAAACCTGAATAGTTAGGAAGTCGCTACATTGATTATTGTTGCCATAGTCATAGATAAGAAAAATCCTAGGAAGCAGCACATGCATTTTAATTAAGATAGAACTTAGAAATTATAATCAAATTCGGCTAGTTAGAGCTCACTTTTCCATAAGATACGATTGAGAAAATTGTTTGAGAAATTGATGCTTTTTTTACGGGCGTACGAAATGATGCAGCAAAATCAAATTGGTTGCTTTTTTTTAGTATAAAAGTTTCTATTTTATTCTATCCATAAATACTTACTACTATGCGACATAATCGATAAAACAAATCAGTACGCATAGATGAAGAACAATGTTAGTTCAAGAGTTTGAATTGTTATTCAGAAAAGTGATAACTGTTTTATAAGGTCTACATTAGTTACGGTAATTACAAGATATTACTATCAGACAAGTAATGCTCGTCGTTCCTACTCGCTTGACCCTCGGTTGGATGCTTAACTCTTTCTGTATAGCATAATACTTGATAAACATGATTGATATTAATATCGAATGTTTCCAGTAGGATGTGTGCGTGTCACTATACACGCCATATCGTCACTCTCGTCAACAATACAACAAGATCACACTCACACCGTAACTCGCACACCCACACTGTAAATCATCCAACGTACTGGCACAATCACATACAGAAGCACAAAAAAATCAGCACGTACACCGTCAAGAGATCTGATTAGATGAGAGCTAGATATTGAAAACATCTGGTTGACTGAAAGTAAAGCATAATTCTGTGATCTGAAATAATCAGTTTGATGTTTCAGCAATATATGTAAACACGTAACTAGACACACATGAAAACATACGTAACGCAATAGTATTTTATTTCATGTGATCCTTCTTACAGTCCACGGAAAAAAATAAAGTTATTTCTGAAACATCCACCAAATGTATTTCGGCATCATTGATTGGTAATTTATAAACAATGACTGAGCTGTGTAGGTTTTCTCATAGCAAGACTCTTCGAACAGACAACTACATCAATCGGCTGCTCATTCTACAGTTTATCTTTGGTGAAGATATCGGTTTGAACGGTCGAAGTTTTGCTGACTACTGATATCAATATTGTTCGAAACGAGCGTTAGAATCATATACTCATGCTATCGGTTGTGTTCCTTGATTTTTAAATAACTCTAGACAAGAAAAAAGAACATGATATTTTTATGATTTTCGACAACTTCAAAAAGGCAGCGAAACTATGTAAGTTGGAGCTTTTTTCATAGACTAACTATGTTAAATAAGAAACCTTAAATTTCGTTGAGACGCCTTTTTCTGTATTTTTGACTGGTTTTTTACAGACTTCGTTGAGAAAGAGTACGACTCGAGTCAATATCAAAAACATATTGGAAATCATGATGAAAAACTTTGTCGATCTGTATGTGTTTGAAAAAAAAACTTCAGTTCAGTTACCCCTCAGAGTACAATCAAAAGTGTATCAAAGCAGTTTCAAAATCATTTGAATACTGAAAAGCAGGTTATAAGCTCATAAAACGTGCATAGAAGATAACAGAAGCCGTCACTTAACAATAAAAATGGTGTTTTAGTAAAATTTATTTTTGACTGTACTCTGTGGGATACATCAACTGAACTTTTCATCAAAAACAACAAGCTTCGACGCAGAACTTCAAAACACATATATAGGTCGATTCGGTGTTTCATGTTCGTTCCCAATATGTTATTGGTTTTGACTCAAACCATACTGTTTCGCAATGAAGTCTATCAAACGTCATTCAAAAATACGAAAAACTGGTGTCTAAATGAAATTTAAGTTTTCTCATTAAACAAACTTCGGCTCCATAAAGATTCAAAATTATATAGTTTTGCTAGTCTTTCAAAGTATGAAAATCCAGCAAAAGTTTATGCTGTTTTTTTTTCTCAAGAAATTGTGAAAGACGGAAGCAGAACTGCTAATATAGGTATATAATTGTAATGCTTCTTCGTAACTATATTTATATTAGAAATCGGCAACACTTCAATCATTCGAGTGGCAATAGTATGGTATGGAGTGTGGCTGTAGTTTATTTTATTCAAATGCACTCACACCTACACCCTTTCATGCGTCCAATCCTTCACATGATCCTAATACAATCTTCTTAGTGTGTTTTGTGGAACTCGCATATATTTTCGAAGAAAATAGTGAGTGTAAGTTGTAAGTTTAAGTTTTTCGGCTCTCCATCCCGCCCCTCCTCCCATTACAGATAGGCTCCCAATAGAAATAATTTCAGATTACAGACCTTACCAACTGCTTTTTAATCGTGTCGTGTATTCCAGCTTATGGGAAATATGTGAGTTTAACATTTCAGCTCCAAAGGGACTGCGCTAACAAGCTTTTTTAGAATCTAAACGTTCTTGGCAAGAACTAGAAGTGATATAGATGTAAGAATTGTTACGAATTCATTTTTTCGTAAGGAAACTAGGGAAAGGCTTCAGCATTTTTATCTACGGAAAGAACATTCTCGAAAGTTTAACAAATCTTCTTTCAAGAAGATGGTAGTCTCATTCATAAGGTGTTCACACGAGAAAGGAGAATCACTTCTTCGATAATGACGATGACGATTTCTTTCCTTTTTCGTTTATTCTAGTGCTTCCCAATATTCCAGTCGATACCCGATGGGCACAAAATGGAACGACCGTCGCTGGAGGCAATGAAAAAGCAATGCCATCAATCATCTCAACGACCATCAAGGTCTCTTCGTTAATGATGATCAAACGATAGTCATCACTGACGACAACAATCATCGTATCATCCAAAGGAAGATGGGTAATATGAATGGGCAAGTGGTAGCTAGTGGCAGTGGCCAAGGAAATCGATGAGATCAATTGCATAAATCAACCAATGTGTTGATCGACAGAGAGACAAACAGTCTCATTATTTGTGAACGGAAGAATCGACAAGTAGTACGATAGTCTTGTCATAGTGACACAGCTCAAGGAGAAATTCTTGTCAATAACATCATCTGTTGGAGATTTGTTATGGATGATCAGAGATATCTCTACATCTGTGATTTTGAAAAACATGAAGTAAGATGACATCAAATAGAAGAAAAGAATGAAACTATCGTGGCTAGTGGCAATGGGCGAGGTGATAGTCTCAATCAACTAAACTGACTTTCCTAACTCTTTGTCGATCAACAACAGCCTATATACGTGCCAGACTGTGACAATTATCGTGTAATGAAATGGAGCAAAAGTGCACCAGAATGAATAGTAGTCACGGCGGTCAAGGCCAGTAGGAGGCTTTGACACAATTGAACTGGCCAAAAGGACTTCGTCGATGCACGTTAGGTACTATCTATGTGACAGATGACCGGAATAATTGAGTGATCGCTTGGCCCAAAGGAAAGACGCACTGTATTGTTATTGTAGGTGGAAATGATGAAGGAGAATAATCAAATCAGTTCAATGTTCTCCAAGGTTTCTCGTTCGATCGAGATAGCAATCTCTATGCCATCGAGTGGAAAAATCATCGTGTTCAACGATTTTTTATCGAATAGACTTATTTCAATGTATTATGTCTTTTTTTGTCCTTCAAATAAACTGCTTTGAATGAACTTCATTTGTATTATATTCGCAGGCGCACCAGAAACCATCCTGGTGGAACCGTGACGAGTGTGCGTCTGATGGGTATGCGGGTGCGAGTGTGGCTATGAGATAATTGAGAATCCACATCCACATCCACACCTACACCATTCTCTTCATGCATATCGACACTCACATGCTTTTCGAGCTGATTGACCAACAAAACTATTCATTACAAATGACAGTTGATTGTTAGCCATAAGAGAAAAACATGAAAACGATTGAAAAGAAAATACTCTGACATCATTTATTTTTACCTTCACACAAACAGTAGTCGCTATAAGTGGCCCCGTCCTCTTTTTGTTGCTCAACAATGACTTTTATTTTATCTTTTTGTTTTGTTTGAACGGACTAGTCGAGCTCATCATCCGATATAAATAGGAGCATTTATACTCCTTCTGTTATCAATTTATAATTTAATCAAAAAATGAACATTTCTTTAAAGAAAAGATGGGAAATAGTCTTTTTATCAAAGCACGAGCGTGGTCCACACATGTCAAATGCTGATATTTCACGATATTTACAAATTGATGAGTCGACTGTGCGACTTTGGCTTAAAAGATATGAAACAACTGGTGACGTAGAAGTTATACAAAAATCTGGTCGTAAACGATCTACAACGGAAAAACAAGACACGATAATTCAATCGATGGTAGCTCAACATCCAACCGAATCTGTTGGTCAAATTGCGTATAGATTATCAAAGAAAGGTATAAAAACTAGTGAAACCACATTAAGAAGAAGATTTGAAGAGGCTGGTGTACAATCAATGAAACCAACTTCCAAACCACTGCTAACTAATGACGATATTAAAAAAAGACTCCAGTGGGCTATAAAACACAAAGATGTTGATTGGAATCAAATTGTTTTTACAGATGAAAGTTCATTTCATATGAAACAAGTGATAAGACGTGTGTGGAAAAAGCGTAGTGAAAAATATTATGTTTCAACAACCAAACATCCTGTCAAGGTTCACGTTTGGAGTTGCTTCAGCAAAAATGGATTTGGAAAGCTGGTATTATTTAGACAAACATTGAATTCAAAGCTTATGTGCAAAATTTACCAGAATGGACTCCTAACCTCAGTAAAAAAATGGTTTGGTGATAATAGCAATCATTGGAAACTTTTAGAAGATAATGATCCGAAACATACCTCAAAAACGAGTAAAACGTTTAAGGCCAACAATGGCATGCAATCATTACCCTGGCCATCGCAATCTCCAGACTGTAACCCGATCGAAAAAATAAGGAAGACAAAAGAGTTGTTTTATTATATTTTATTTACAAAATCTACATTATATGTACATCATCCTAATAATTGATATAATCGCCTTTTCTTTCAATTAACAGTTCTACTATATTTTTCATAGAATNATTATTTTTCATTTTTTTAAATTCGTTTTTCTTAATTTATCATTTTTATTATTATAATCATTGAATTCATTGACAAATAAGTGTGTTTTACATATCTATGATATCTACAGCAGATCTTAAACACTCATATATATTAATCAAGTTACAAATAACGATATTCATTATTTTTTAAAATTATAACTTGATCAATTTTCCAAAAAAAAACACTCGAAAACCTGATAGGGTGTGGGGTGTGGGTGTGAGTATTAGTGTCATCTATACCCGCATCCACACCCACACCCTAGTTTTCGAGAAATATAGTGAAACTGTTAGACTTAGCGAATAAATCTTGACTGAATTATGATGATCCAAAGGGGAGCACCCAAAATATCTTTTTATCAATTTTAGACTTTTTTTGTCATTCATTTATTTGAAATGTTTTCATAGTCTCTTCTCAAAAATACGAGCCAGCGTTCTAAAGATATCACAATATATATTTTTGAGATGGATAAACCAATCATGCTGTTCACTAAAGTCTATGTGATGACAGATTATCACTGAACCTTTTGATGCAATTATATTCTTAATATATATTAGACTCAAAAATAGTTTATCTTCTCAATAGAATTAACTTAAACATTTTCTTTGAAGGCTACTAAATTAGTGCTACTTGAGCATACATACAAATCTTGGAATCTTTTAGTCAAACTCAACCAGCGCCATCACAAGATACCGCTTTTCTCTATATATAATATACAAAAGGAGACGATTACAGATCATTCGAATTTATGATAAAACAAAGGTTGTTTGACATGATATTTTTAGTAATTGCAGAAGTACAAGTTAGTAGTTATTTTTATAAGGTTCAGCTTGATTGGTGAAAATTTCATCTTATTTTAGTGTTTCATTCGATAAGATTCTTAGTGATCTTGAGGAAGAGGAAAAATTAGATCAGAATTAGATATTTTCAAAATCAGTTCCGTAAAACTTGATACTCAACTTATATACAATGCGATAGACGAGTGAATGTCAAACAAAATTTTATAAATGGCTTCGATTTGGAAACGAAAACTGATTATAAAATGTATACCATACCTCATAGCTATCCCCCTATATACCTTACAACGATCTAATGTGAAATAGCAATCAAAACTTTTCTTTCGTCGAATCGGCATGCTTTTCTTAGCAAAAGTAACACTTATCAAGAGCTACACAACTAATAAACTGTAGATTCAAAAACGTTTTTCCTTATTATTTAGTCTTGGCCTGCCACGAAAAATACGTACAGATTATCTGATAGTGAACATTGTGCAGCCATGATCTTTATATTTGTGCGAAGAATTGAGATAATTAGTTGAGGATAATTTATTACTCAACAAAGCTAGATAATTAGCTTATCAAATATTTTTATACCTGTGATCTTTACTGTCATGAAAGAAACTTGAGTGATGAGTAAGCCACGAAAAGCATTGACTAGAGCCTCTTCGTCATCATCCGTGCTATACACAGCCATAATATTTATGAGCTTGATTTAACTCATCTTTAGAAGCAAGAGTTTTTCGGTCAACATTAAATTCCATCCCGAATATGATCTTTTATTTTTCACATCTTGAAACATTTGTTGAAAACATTTTTGATGATTTATCACGTTGACTTAAATTATGTAATTATAAAGTTTTCTAAGATAACCGAAGTACTTATTGCTTCTACTATTCTTTTTTTGTTAAGTTGACAACTTAATTTATTGTTGTTTATTTGAAACATTCATGTGATTTATTTCTAATGATTATTTAACATTTCTGCATGAGAGTTTGCGCAGTTTTTTTCAAAATTTCGACTTCTTTTCTCGAATAGACTCATTTGAAAATAAGCTCGGCAATCAAATCAAGTATTTTGCGCCAGTTGTTAAAGTAAATTTCCTTTGATGTTCTTTTAAAAAATCAAACACTTGTTTGTCAAGTTAAGCTCATCGAAAAGCATTGAAATTTTTTTCTTTTGACAGTACAACAAATTCTCTTCATGTTCGCATTGAAAATTTTTGCAAAGATCACTAATAAACAATCAAAATATATCGAATATATCATTATCTTCTGTTCTCAAAGCTTTACTAATTTATAGACAAATGAACTTTTGTCGACGTCAGTCATTACAACCTTTTAACTGATAACTTCATCAAAAATTATGAACTAATTGAAATTTTCTTTGAATAAGTCTCGATAATATTTTTTTTTACATAATTCAGTCATAATTGGCTTCGTTTGTTATTTATTTGACAGACAGCTAAGAACACTACGAAAAAATTTAAATCACAAAAAATTCTGCTATTTCGTTAAAATAAATCTTAATGCGTTGATCAAAAGAAGAAAATGTTTGTATTGGTTTTGTCAATAAGAGCTATTTCTCCTGTAATAGAGTTACATTACGTCATGCAGATTAAGACTGGTGTCAGCAATATTTAAATATCTACCCAGGTCAAAAGGAACGGTCCGTAAACGCCAGTAAAGTGATAAAAAACGGTGTCATTACGGGGTTCCGACTTTTTTCGTATACCGATATCAGTTAACGCCGTACATACAGATATATTTCGGACCGTTTACAGAGCCGTTTCCTTGGCACCATTTACGGCCCCGTAACGGACACCGTTTTCGGGCCGCTTTTAACAGTTTTTTGTTCCAAAATTTAGTTAATAAGCTAATTAATTATCGAGTATTCGGGTAGTCAATCTTCATTTTGTGCTTCATAAATAAAAAATTGAATGAAACTGAGCTAATAATTGTTATACTATAGAATATGCGATTCTAAAATGGCATTGACCACAGCGCCATCTATTTAGAAATGAAAAACAAGAATTGCTACAATTTTTTAATTTTAAATAAAAAATATATTTTAAAAAAAAATATATAAGTTTTGAATTATAATATTGAAAAATATGGTTAACAATTTTAATTGTCTATTTCTAGACAAAGACAACGGTCTATGTAAGATATATATAAAAAGCAATGAAAGCCCATAAGATGATCATTTACTCGTTTTTTTCGATCTAAGTCTCATTTTAGATTTGCTTCATTATATATAGTATAACTAATATAGCTAAGATCTTCTTTCATTCATATTTTTGTCTTGTATTTAGTGATTCAACTTCATCAACATTTTAACCTGTTTTCTATTATTGTTTAACTTTTTAAACACGTTTTTGTATTTTTTCTTTTTCCGCGTATAAAATGAATAATAAAAAAGAAAAAATGAAGGCTCTAACATTAAAGAAAATTATGTACGCTAATAAAGCGAATAATAAGGGATTGGGAGGGGAAATAAAAAGGTCGTGAACGGATCTCATACAGTGTGTTTACGACCACAATACGTTGTATTACGGTTGCCCGTATCTTAACCGTAAAAGGGCGGAAAATGGGCAGATACTGTCCGTTTACGATACGGACATAATACGGCCCGCATTTCTGCGCCAGATAATACTGATCAATACGGACCGAAAACGATCCGTATTGACACTGTATACTGCCGTAAAATATTCGTTTTGACACAATTTACGGTCCGTTTTCGGATCGAAAACTGTGCCGTTTTGATTGACCTGGGTATTTAAGAAATATTCATATGGATGCTTTCTTCGTAAAACAAAAAGACTTGAATCAGCTTGAGAAACGAAACTGATTCGATGTAAAATTTTCTGATATTTTCGATCTTGATTTTATTAGAAAGATTTGTTTTCTTATTAATTGATTCTATCGATGCAATGCATTGTTCGCCAATTGAAGAAAATCTGATATAATTGTCAGCAAGTCGAAGTCGTTATTTTAGTATCTTCAAGTAATCTTATATTTGAGTTAAACTAAGCATGTGTTCTTGAAACTCAATTTCAGATTTTAAAAAGAATATAGGAAACTGAAGAACTTTTTGTTCTTGAAAAATCTTTCTTTCAAAATAGCAACTTTTGAAATTTGAGAGAACAAAGAAGGCCATTTTTTAAATGTTGTATAGTTTTTAGTTGAGCTAATTCTAAATAAATCACTTTTGATGTGCTCGGACGATTGTTAGGGAAACTTGAACAAATCTACAACACTTGGGAAAATCGACATAATTCAGAAGGATACAGTCTGATAACGGCTAATATTCATCTCATTTTGTAGGAAAATATTTTATTTCTTATAAAGTTGTATTCAGATCAGAAATTTATAAAAAAACTGTTCATGTCAGTCGTAATCGCAGTTTTTTTCTTTTTCTGTCAAATATAAACAGCGCTTAAATCGTATTGGTAACTTTCTAGAATACAATGGCACAAAAACATGACGCTTTGTTGATTGACTGTATAAAAAAGAAAGCAACAGCAATCCATTCTGATTTCTTGTATTGTAACATAGAAAGTAGAATAGAGATGGATCAACCAATAATAACTCGATTCGAAGATCTACCAGTCGAAATTTTAATGGAAATCTTCGATTATTTCAAGGCTAATGAAATCTATTTACTATTCTACAAACTAAATAATCGTCTCAAGTCAGCGATTAAATCACTACCTGTTTTAATTTTTGTAAAAAAAAGACGTTTGGGCCCGATTCTTTCGTTCTTCCATTCATTCAAGGCAGTACACGTCAAGATTAGTCATTTCGATATACGTACTAGCTACCAGCCAAATAAAATATATGGCGGTCATCGTTTATTGTACACTTATTCGTCAACGGATTATAAGTGGTTTCCACGCCGATTTCATCGCATAGAAAAAATTATTCTTTCTGATATTTGTTCACAGTTGCGATCGTTAATTTTACCAGCTAGCTCATCGAAACTAGTTCAATCTATATTTCGTGGTGAATTCTCTCGCTTGAAAATATGTCATCTTGGAAAATGTGATCCATTCTTTATCTCGTTGTCGATATCTACTCAACTACAAAGTTTTCGTCAATTAACTATGCGAGGACAAAAAGGAAGTGAATTCGAAAAGATCTTATTGATGTGTCCTTCTTTAATCTATTGTGATTTTTCGTGTGACGATGCCATTCCTCCATTTACTTTCATAAATTGTTGTTTATCATCGATGAAATATCTTCGCCTCACTGGTGTGGAAGGATTTTTATTTCACAATGGTCAATTCGATTTTCTTCTTTCGCTATTTCCTAATCTTCGTCAATTTCATTTGGCAGTCGAGCAATGCGATAAACATCTGGAAACAATTGAATTTCAAAAAGTGGCTGATACTCTTCTTCATCGACTTCCTTCTTTAAAAATATTAGATTTACGTATTCAAATGACGAAATTTATGACCTCGGAATATGTTATGATGCCGCTTGAGGAGATTGCTCAGATGCATCCACTTTTCAATTATATACTTGTATTCTTTGAATATGTTATGATTACTTCTTACGGTTTCGTTCCAAATCACTTCTGTACTAGTCGATATGCTCGTCCTTATTCTGAATGATCGTATTGAAATGAATAGTGTTTACAATAAAACTGACATAAAATTAAAAAAATACATTTAGCTGATTAGTTATGTTTTTTTTTATTGTAATAATTTGATGATCAATATTATTTGTATATCGTTCATGATAGATTGTATGCCAAATAAAACTATTCTCTAAAATTATGTTTATCTATTTCTCTTCTTTGAATAGATAAGACTTAAAATAATATTCTACATAAGGATGGATTTTTCGGTCTGTTTTCTTTATTCATTTACATCCTCAAATAGAAAAACAATAGAGAAATTCCTGTCAGATATCTGAATGAAGAGAGCCTGCTTTTTAGAAAGTTAATTATCAAATATTTTCATCATGCTGATAAAAATTTCAAAAATGAGTACGTCAAACCATTAAAATAAATTTGTAGTTTACAACTAATGATGTCCGAAAAAAAGAAAAGATGTAGGACACTAAAAAAAACACAGCTGTTCTCATCATTTTACGTAATATTCTATGAAATCTTTCACAATTCTTGTCTATTATTCTGACTGATCAATGACAATTATATTAAGTAACACAATTCATATAATAGTTTTGTTTATGACTTCAATACATCGCTTATCAGACAAGAAGTTAAAAGCGATTCTTAAATAAACGTAAGAAATGGACATGTGCACGTTAACTAAACGGAGCATATAGGATACATGTAATGGAAAGAATAACTCACTCAAACACTATACTCCTCATTAGCCAGATATTCCATTAGCTTGGCGGTATTGCTTTAAATGATTAAAGTTACTAAAAAAAATTAAATTAAATAATAGCGCTGCTAAATAGTCCTGTCAGATACAAATATGATTGCGCCGATGGTATAGCGGTATCACGTACTATTAACGAGACTGAGATTCTGATGAAATATTCAACAAAAGCACGATCTTTCATATCAGATACTTCTACATCTACAAATGATGATCCAGATTATTGAATAACCATTGGGTTCGATTCTCGGTTGGAGCAGGTGCTTTTGTCATGGGAGAGCAAATGGTGTTACACGACACGCCTTGATGACTGTGAAATTCTCAACGTGTACAAGACCATTAACCCTTTGAGAACGGGTGTGGGGTGTGGGTTGTAGGTCTTCTCTTTAATAATACCCACACCCACCCCAGTAAGATTTCCATTCTTATTTTCTCTATTTTCCATTTCCAAATTTCTTGGAATTAGCAAATGTTTCAAAGAGTCATCAAAAACTTTCAACCGACGGCGATCATTGTGTATGTGTCTTCTTTTTTTCCGATACTCACACCCACACCTACACCCTTTTAATAATGCAAGATCGTATGAGAGTGACTTTTTGCGTGTTCGTTACAGCATGCGTGATGTATCTATCGCCAATGATGCCATATGATTTTTTTCAGCTAATGCGTTTTTACGTCTATCAATGAAGCGTAACTGTTTCATAAGGTCGACATTTTATTGAGCATAGTATTGCTATTCTTGGGCTCCACACATGATAAGGTTCGCTTAGATCCCTAAAAGATTTTGGGTTTCGTATTCGTGCAAATTTGTTTTTTTTTCTTCTACTTTTATTTTCTGTAAAACATACAACAAACACAACAGACTAAATGTGAGAATGTTTAAGTTGTCTTAAAGCACGAAAAAATATAAACATTTAAATAGCAATCAGAAATTACAATTGAAAAAACTAAAGGTTGCAAATGAATCAGAATCTAGTGAACTCTAAACTTGAAATAAAATGACAACGAACAGACAATGATCAAAATAAGAATAGTTCTAGCAGACATTAAAAATTCAACAGAAGGTGAAGAGTATCAACTTAAGAAACATACTACATTAAAATAAGGGCAAATACAGACTAAAAGTTACGAACTGGCGTCAACTGGAACAAATTTAAGGATAAAATATAAAATATAGACTGAAACTAAAAACCGAAGCCATCTGAAAGGATCCAAATATGTTCAAAAAAAGTGAAAAACAATAAATAATTCAACTTTAACAAATAAGAAAGAAACAGAATGATATTAAAACGATTCAAAGATAAAAAACTAAACAGAGAACAAGAAAAATCAGTATCGGCGGCAGATAAATGTCAATAAAAAGAACATAAAGGACTAGAGAAATGAAGTGATGCATTATTAAAACACAAATTCGATTTTCAAGAGAAAAGAAGAATTAAGACTGATTTTTCAAATGTTTAAATAAAAAATTTTCTGGTTTCAACTGTTGACACCAAGCATATTAAAATCATCTTTGATTTCTCAATGCTTCGTTTTTTATTTTTAAAACAGAAAGATTATGGGCGCACAGAAAACCCACCCTCAAATCTACATTCCCTTTTGAATCAGCTGCGATAGAAGCAGACACAAATGAATATGCACGATGTCGATACTGATCATTTAAATTGATGGGTGTGTGTGTGAGTTTTGGCTTTGTTTTCATCAGCATCCACTCACACTCTCACTATTAACAAAATTATTAAATATCAAATTTAAGTAGCAGATAAAAACTGACTACAGATTCGAACTTAGGTGCTACATTACTGTTGGTTAGCTTTTCTTACAAAATATTTTAAAAACTATTAAATATTAATAATTTACAGAAGATAATAGCTTCCATATATTTTTTCATTACCTTTGTGAGCCTTCACAAAGCATAAATACATTCACTGATCATTTGCTCGATGCATCATGCCGTTTTCGCTGTATAACAAATTACTATTGGATTAACCGTGTTTTTTGCTGATTGACTTGAACAAACATTCTCAATTAAAATATTTTCGACGATATAACATTTTCTTTTAGAAAAGGGAGCAAAAAATATTATATTTATTTTTCACCTTGATAAAGAGAAGAAACGACGATAATTTTTTTGTTATCGAAATATATTGCTTGAGAGTAAATAAAAACGATGAGTAATGCAAATTTTTTGTTATGATTGCCTTTACACTTATAAATCAACACATGATAATATTTACTATTACTTCCTTTTTTTTTTAAATAACTATTCTTGTATAAAACATTCGACAAAAATAATATTGGACATCATGCATCTCGTTCAGAAAAAGCGAAACAAATTAGACAATCAATAATCACTCAAAGTTCGCGTAATTTTAATTGCCGTCCTTCTAGAACAGTGAGCAATAATGAGAAAAATTCTCAAAATGAGTTAATGAAAATATCAAATGTTGTACTTGTTTGGTTTGATCCACATGCTGAAGACAATGCAATTATAGATTATCGTTTAACCCTTTACCCCCCATAGCGGTTCCAGAAGAGCCACCGATGAAATAACTTTATGAATAGAGTATTAGCCTGTCAAATATGCCAATGGTGTGGCCTAATCCACCGAATGCCCTGTTCCTGGAGTAGGGCGGTTTGACTGATGTAAAAATCATGTGGTGGAAAATGGGAATTGAACAGTATCATAAGACTTAATTCTTTTTCTTTGACNACCTCTCTCTGTACAAAGTTTCAAGTCGAAATTTTCAAATGAGTTTTTCTCATGTTCCTGAGGAAGAGCACTGTAGTGAGTTATTCCAATATCTTACAAACGTAATATCTCAACAACAACAGGCTATGGGCACAAACTCTTTTAGGGCTCTTACGTACGCTATGAGTCCTACCTACAGGAAAAATATGAGCCCAAACCGAGAGTATCACTTGGGGAGGTTCCCTCGTGAGAATATGGTCTCTGATTTGCTCTTATACTGGATTCCAGGAAGCTAAACAAGGTCTCATTTGAAAGAGAAAATATTTCTCTAGAAAAATCAAGTAGTTTCAATAAATTGTGACGTCGTTAGTGGAGTCAATCATTGAAGTTTTTCATTTCGACTGCATATTGTTGTGCTCTTTCTACTGGTGTAATCAAAAGCAACGTTGAACTCTTTGTCTGCTTGGGAAGCCGGAAATTCAAAAAAGCTCACTAAAGTCTTCAGAGAGACTTCAGCTTTAAATCTAAAATAATTTTTTTTTTCAAAATAATTTCCTGATCAGATTATAACTCATAAAATTCTCTATCAGAAGCACTAACTTTCAGTTTTATCCAAGGTTCTCAGTACAGAAAAAACAGCCATTAACCTGAAAAGTGACAAATTTTACTAAATAATGTAGGCATATTATTAGGCACTATTCTCATAAAAATGATTTGGATATGGATATTCGGTTGATAATTGGACGCATATTTACACTCTCGAATAGACATAACAGTTGTCTTATTTGAATACTATTTTGGTTATTTAATTTTTCAAGCTACATCAAATTATGTATGACATAAAAAGAATTCCGAAAATAAACTTTCTAGGGTAATTTACAATTATCCTGCATTGTAATTTCTTCTGTAACATTTATGTCTAGTTGTTTTGATTAAAAAATAAATAAACAAATTATTGCAATACGTTAAGAATGTGAAATTATTGGTGCCATATAAAATAATGCAATTAGCACAGACACTAGTTCAGAAGAAACTAGTGAGTTAAGGCAAGAATAAGAAAATCAAAATCTTTCTAGAGTACCCAATAGATACTTCTAATTTAAAAAAAAAAGTCAGGAAATGTATGAATTTCGTTCTCTTTTCAATCGTTGTCATCTTAATGCTCTCCATAAGTCATCAACATTGAGAAAATATTAATATTTAAAGAGGTTCATCTATTAACATATCTGTGATAATCCGGGAATCTTTGAAATCATTATTTATTAAACAATCATATAAAGACTTCCTTACAACACAACTTAATATGAACCATAGGTGTAGAATCTACCTCTGTGTGCGAACGACCATTTGGAGAAACTGCAGAAGACTTATTACTATACGAATGTCATTTTCTGAAAATTAATTGGTTCCCCATAATGTATGTCACACATTTACTCCATTTCTTATTCTCATCTCACTGGATAAAAATCTATTGAATTGCCAAACTGAAAACTATACACGAAAAGATAGAATATTTTTTGTTCAGGATAGACCATTTATTACAGCATAATCTTTTCATTTTCCTGTCTCA